TTGATGAGCTGTGCTGACTCCTGCAGTCCATTCTGTTAAAAAAGAAAAAACAAAAACAAAAGAAAACCACAGGTTTATTTTACTCACTAGTGACATCTATTAGAATGGGAGATCGATGGTTCAGCCAGTGACCTCTGTCATGACGATTGTCCTAATGGATGACACCGCTAAGTGAAATAAATCCGTTTTTAATGGAACGGACTGCTTGAGCAGCCTCCTGAGACAGAGGGCACCTTCGTGAATACGCATGCAGTGGGAGAATTGGGGGCCCAGTGCAGGAAACTCTTGCTCTCTCCAGCAATTTGTAAAGCATCGGTGAAGGTTGGTCACTATCTCAGTGAAACGTTTCAGCCTGATAGGACTGGAACGTACCTTTAGAGCAACCTGGGCTGCATCGCATCTGAGCTGTTGAAAGTGTTGTATCCTGAGTGTAAGGCCGTGAAGTGACTATTAAATAAGCAAGGATTTTCAGGGTCTAATCCTTAGTCTGACTGTACTTTTCTTTTGGTGCCCAGCCTGAAAGATACTGAGCAGCTTTACGTTCTGTAAGAGACACAGCTGGCAGAATCAGGAACCAGATGGACTTGTCTCAAATAGAGATCCAACCCGTGTTGAAACGTGACCTTGAAGAGTCCTGTTACTAGCAGTACGAAAGCTAAGTATAGGGTCTACAAAGCTGTTACATCCAGAGGTGCTTGCTTCATCAGAATTGCCTGTGCGTGGTACTGGTACTTATGTATCTGCCTTGTGCAGAGATTTGCAAGTAGTTGCCATAGAGGGAAAAAGTAATTATCTGAAAATATGTGCCCGAGGTTATTCAGCAGGTCAGTTGTGAAGCCGAGGGAGTGGTAAGCTAAAAGCATTAGCTGAAACAACTGGCCTCTTGTTAAAGGTGATTTGACTGTGTCTACTTTGTATGTGGAAAAATTTTATTTAGCACCTTTAGTTATCTTTGAGGAGGTGTGCTATGCTGTAATGCAGACTCATTTTCGAGCTCTTTTAAGAGAGGAACAGCGGAGTAACGCAGTACAGTAAGTTGTCTATACCCTTTCACTTTGGGAAAGGGTTTTTCTATTTCTGTATATTTGAATCGATCACAACAGGCCCTGCCCTGTTCTTGCAACAAGGGAAGTGAGGGTAGAAATTAGGTGAAACCTTTTTTTTTTTTTTTTTTTTTTTTAAATTGTAACAGTTAATAAGCACTGGAATGGATGCCTTCAGAGTCTGTAGAAGCCCTGTCCTTAAGAGTTTTTTTAAGGGCCGTTTTGGCATATTTTCATGGGGAAACCTGCTGGGGATGTTGTGATATGTATTGTATGCAAGGAGATAGGCACAAGGCTTCCACAGACTTCAGCCCTATTTATTTCTCGTGTTATCAACTCAGAACTCGATCCAGATGGTTTTATTGCTTCCAGGAGCTGCTCTACTGCACGCATGTTCAGCTAATCCAATGCCACCACCTTCTGGCTTTGCGGTGGCTTTGTTGCCGTTATGTATGAACCTCCGCTGTATTTTCTACCTGTAGGTGAAAGCAAAGGGATCGCGTTTGGTAGGACCTTCTGTTTTTTTAGTAGTTCATGCTCCCTTTGGGACCTTAAACGTCTTCACTCTCTTTAGGAATCGGATTGTGTTTGAAGTGCCCTGCTGGGTATTTCTGCCCTGCTGGAGCAAGTTACCCAGTCCCATGCCAGCCAGGTACATATAATCCTCTCCAGGGACAGGATGAAGCCACTGACTGCCGAGCTTGCCTAGCAGGGAGAGCTTGTACTCAGGCTGGCTTAGCCCAGCCTGACTCGGAGTGCATGCCAGGGTGAGCCTCAGTTGTTTTCTGCACTTCTTTTTGTGCCTGCGCATTTTGTCTCCCTTGCTTTGATTTTGTGCGTGGGGAGGTGCAGGGGGCACCTTCTGGAGCGTCAGGGTTTTGTTACAGTTTCCGGTGAATCAGGGTGTAACTTAAACTGTTTTGATAGAGGACTTTTCTTAAACACAGCAGGCATCACGGCCTGCTATTACCACAGAATAGGTAGTAGAAAATAGTGAAACGGGCAAGAACGAAGCCCTGACAAGCGTTCTGTGGTTCTGAGCAACACAGCCTGGCTGAAAAGCCCACTTTTATTTTAGTGAAAAACGTGCAACAAAACCAGTCCGTTCAGTGTTCCTGCGTTCTGAACGTCACTTAATCCTGTGGCTGACAGCGACTTGAGTGTGTCAGCTTTCTCCCAGCTGCACGATTCGCCCTAGTATTTTGGGAGGGCACGGAGTTTGTTTCCCCTTTGCGTCAGTGCATTTGCCTGAGCTAGCTTGTTGCGTTTTGTTAGGTACGTGTGCCCAGTGGGGTCATCCAGCCCTCATTCTCCAAGCAACGCCTGCCCTCCGGGAACAGTTGGCAATCAGTTCAGCCTCTTTGATAAATCCCAGTGTGAAACATGCCCTGCTGGATTTGTCTGTGTGCGAGGTAGGTGTCTTTATGATGAAGTAAACTGCGCGCATTGGTACCCCTTACCAGGGAGCCCTCCAGCAAGTACCAGAACAGGTCAGTGAGGTGTCCCGATGACGGTGAATGGGAGAGGTGCCATGGTAGGGTTTAGTTTACTGCAGAGACCGCTTTGTCCGCTGGACAAGTTGATTTTAATCTTAATCCGAGGTTTCCTCTTTCTTCCACCCAGGGTTACCGTTGTCACTTCATGACCTGCAAGCAGCCAACTTTTACAGTCCTGATCAAATCTTTTAGCTGATCGGTGGCCTCTTCACCTTGATGCCCATGCCAGCTTTGGATGGGGCGGGCACCTTGAACGCTTCTTGAGTTGAAAAATGATTCCGTCAGTAACCAGTTCTGTGATAGAGGCCCTCATCAACAGGGGAAGTCAGTTATCTCAGTTTAACTGGAGGGGAAAGGAGCAGACTGAGGACATGACTTACTCAAGGTCATCCAGCAGAGCTGAAAACAGGAGGAGGGAACTGGATTGTCTGCAGCCAGAGTACTATCTATTAGGCCCTACTGCTTCTCTTAAAATTTGTCTTTGTGTTTGCAGGAACGGGGGGCAGGCGGAAGCCTCCCGCTCCGTGCCCCGTTGGTCACTACTGCCCACCAGGCACAAAGCATCCGGTGCAGCACAAGTGTGCCCCAGGTACCTGGAGCAATAGGACGAGCCTGGCCTCAAAAGAGGAGTGTTTGCCATGTCCTTCAGGCTGGTTTTGTCTAGGAGGAGCTCGCGTGCCTTCTGGGAGGTGCAGCTCAGGGCATTACTGCCCACAGGGTAGGCAACTTTTCTCAGAATGGGGGAGATTTAGTTCATTTCTCTTTGGAAATTTTGTGCACCCTGATACAGTCATGCTCTGACTTTGTCAGGATATGTTTTGCACTGAAGTATTTCAGCATGGAGGTGCAGAATTCTTGCTGCAGGATGAACTAGTATGAATATTTATTAGCAATGAAGAACAGAGGGCATTATTCCCTTTCTCTTTTCTTTTTTTCTTTTCTTTTTTTTTTTTTTTTTTTTTTTTTTTTTCCCCTGGAAGGTACACGGAGGGGCACCCAGTACCCCTGCCCAGCAGGAACATATAGTACCAGGCTGGGAAATGGCAGGGTGGAAGAATGTGCTGCCTGCCCTGCAGGGACTTTCTGCACCAGTGGGACCTCCAAGCCAGTTCTGTGCCCAGTGTAAGTACACTGCACGTGCTGCAGTAGTTGTCGGTCTCGGACCCACACGAGCACAAAAGAAACCCTTCCTGTGTGGCGTTTCAGAATCTTGCTCATTGTAAGAAACATCTTTCTGCACCGGAAGTGTTTGCCAACAAGGCTTCGTTCCTGGACGGTCCAGGCAAGTTTTCTCTAAACCGAGCGGTTTCCACTTGGCTCCAGAAGTGGTGCCTTTCCTCCACCTAAGAGTCTAACAATGCAAGCCAGATAAATTGTCCTGTTCTTGGTCACTTTGCTGCCATTAGTGACTCTCCTTGCTGTGTATTTTCATATGCAGAGGAACTTTTCGTATGGAACACGGTGCAAAGTCGGCCGCAGAGTGCATCCCGTGTCCCGGAGGGTATTACTGCCCTGAGCTTGGCACTGTTACTCCTCGGGCATGTGGTGCTGGCAACTTCTCGGTAAGTAGCATTAATTTCATCCTGACAGCTGTTCAGCATAAGGACTGAACTTAGGCAGAAGGGGCAACTGCAAGATAAACCCCTGAAAGGAGACACTGGCATGAACCAATCTCCAGGCATGATGAGGCTGGGTTTTTGGGAGGCTTTTATACAGTGTTTTAAGCAACGTTGTACTTGCTTTGCTTGTACTAGCCTCACAAGTAATGAGTGAAAGTCTAGGGAATCACAGACTCGCAGAAATTTGGGGTTGGAAGGGACCTTTGGAGATCACCTGGTCTGACCCCCCTGCTCAAGCAGGGTCAACTAGAGCCGGTTGTGCAGGACTACGTCCAGTCAGGTTTTGAATATCTCCAAGAATGGAGACTCCACAGCAGCTCTGGACACCTGGTCCAGTGCTCAGTCGCTCTCACAGTGAAAAAAATTTTCTTATGTTCAGATGGAATTTCTCGTATTTCCATTTGTGTCCATTTTCTCTTGTCCTGTCACTGGGCACCACTGAGAAGAGCCTGGCTGCATCTTCTGTACGCCCTCCCATCAGGTATTTATAAACATGCATAAGGTTTCCCCCTGCCCCCTCACCCCGAGCCTTTTCTTCTCCAGGCTGAACAGTCCCAGCGCTCTCAGACTCTTCTCATGTGAGAGATAATCCAGTCTCTTAAACATTTTTATGGCTCTTTGCTGGACTTTCTCCAGTAGATCCATGTCTGTCTTCTGCTGGAGATGGGGTTTATGTATGACAGATAGACCTAAATTATCTGTCTTTTGCACTTTGCAGTCCAGCGTGACGAAGAAAGATGAAGGAACGTTTGTGTTTGTCTGTGCTCCTCTTCTGCTGGCAAAGCACGTTAGATCAGCTGTTCTGAGGATCAGAACCTTATGCATAGATAATCCACAGGCAGCGACAGGTCCTGCTTCTCAGTTGTGAAACACAGACTTTCTTGCCTGCAGAGGGAGTAAACTGAAGTACATACTGTTAGTTGTTTATACGTTAGGTTAGGTGTGATTTTAAAGGGAAGTATTTGTGTTTCCAGTAGTACTACTAAACTTAACAGGGGGAGCGTTTTATAAGAGCCTCTTCGGTGCCCGAGGGCAATGACTCTCCTCAGTGGCAACCCTTTTTTCGGCTGTTTGTTTGCCAGTGGGGTCCGCTGCAGACCTGGTTACGTTCTTTTTTGTGCCTGGACACAACCCGCCAAATGCGCAAGGTATCTTTTGTGCTTGAGAAATGGGAACTGTGTCCCTTTCGTGTTGTAGGGCCAAGGTTCAACCTCCTGCTTGCCATGCTTTGTGGGACATTACTGTGCTAGTGAGCACACCAGCCGGGAGCTGATGCTGCTTGCCATGATCTGCCCAGCGGGTCTCCTGTGCCCAGAAGGACAGGCAGTTGTTCCAGATGCCAGTGCAAATGCCTGCCCAAGAGGATACTACTGTCCCCGGGGAGATACCGTAAGAGAATCTGCTTTGGTTCTTGGCATTCACCGTTCCCTCATCGTGGTGGCTGTACAGTTAACGATGTACAGCGGAATTAGTCTTGCTATGGGAGCCTTGGCTAATGGTTTTATTACTGATTTCTGTACTCTCTTGGTGTGCAGAGATCTTAGCAGTATTTTCCCTGTATAAGTGTTTTCCCTGTTCATAATACTGGGATAACGTTTTCTGAGATGCTGTTTACAGCAGAGAGGACACTCTGTCCCCATTCTGTTACAGCACCTTCACAGCTTTCACATCTGATTCCTCGTGTCAATTTTCAATGTTTGTTCCCAGTCCCTGGGAAGAGTTAGTTCCATGGCTTCTGCTGCTGGATGTTTGCATGGCGGGTTGCAGCAGTAATATTACTGTCTTATAGACCCATTTTCATATTTCCCTTCAAGGGCTTGCAAGCTAAGCCTTGCCCCAATGGGACCTATGGTGAGCAAAGGGGTCTGAGCAGAGCTGATGAATGCTTACTGTGCCCTGCAGGGAAGTACTGCTATAGAGCAGAGGTTGAGCCTTCAGGAATTCCCCACCCTGTAAGTACAGCACAGCTTCTCCTAACTGTTTTTCCAGTGGCTGTAATTGTGAATGGAGCGTGCTCGATGCATGTCTTTCTCTCTTTCCTTTGCTTCCGCCTTTCTATGCGGGCTGTGAGAGATCAAACGTCAGGAATTGGTGTTGCTCCCGTCTCTCATGAGGTTTGGGATCTTCCGTGGTGATGGTCTTGTCTCTGAAAACATGGAACTCTTTGGATATTAATAGCTGTTTAAAAAAAAGACGCCTCCATTAAGGAGAAAAAAAAAAAAAAGGGGAGGAGTTTGAATTTATTCAGCCTGGATGAATCTATGCTTTTATGCAAGAGAGAGGTGATAACTCTCATACCAATTGCAGCTATTTTCCAAGCGCAGAAGATGACCATCCTTCCTGGGGGTCTATCGCAAAGTGTAGGGCCTTCCTCAATGACAAGATTTCACCGTAAAAAAAGCTGGCCTGAAATAGTTATCCCATGCGGCCAGAACTTTATTGCTAATAAGATTGTGGACTCCCTTCCCTCATTTTCTGCCCCGTTTTCTTGCAGTGAGAGATTCCAGGTTATCCACATTGTAGACTAAGCTTGTATTTTTTTTTTGTGTTGAACCTGAGAAGATTCCTCTTCCCTGCCCAGAAAAGGATGACAAAGCTGTGCCTGACTGTGTATTTTGCTCCCTAGACTGGGGATTGCCCCCCCGGCTATACTTGCCCACCGGGGACTGGATTCCCTTTCTCTTTCCCCTGTGTGCCGGGATTCTCCTGGGATAACTCCACTGTAGAGGGTGAAGGCATTTGCATACCATGCCCAGCTGGGCACTACTGTGACTCTCCTGCCATGTTGGAGCCCAAAGCCTGCCCAGTGGTAAGTTCTTTTGTCTTGGTTGTCTGATGGAAGGAGCTGATGATAAGTGGTATGTGGAAGTCTGTTTAATGGAAGAGCCTCCAGTGCTGTATTAAGCTGTTTTTTTTTTTGTAGGGCTTTTACTGCGTCAGAGGCAGCTCTCAACCAGAGCCCTGTCCGGAGGGTACATACAGTAACAGGAAGGGGCTATCTGGACCCTCAGAGTGCAGCCCATGTGGCCGTGGCTTCTACTGTGCTGCTCCAGGCCAGACTGCACCAAGCGGCCCCTGCAACCCTGGATTCTACTGCCAGGGTAGAGCTCTGACTCCAGTAAGTCAGGTGGCAAGTTTTTCTCCTCCTTGTCTAATGGGGGTCCACTGTGGTGTTCTCCTTTATTAGCCCAGTGACTTCAAGAACCAGTTTCATGCTGTACATGCATGAAACCATTTATGGTTTTTGGGCCACTGATGCTGCCCCAAAGGCAGTGTGATTGCAGGTATCTGTTCCTCTCAACACTGACACCGCCTTAACTAAAATGTATCCGAGTGAATATCCAGGGTGAAAAAGGTTATTGGATGTAAATCACAGTGGCATTGCTAGGGTAACCGGGTCATCCCTTCCCCCCACGCCGCCCGCCACCGCCCCCGA